CTCTCTCTCGCTCTCTCTCTCTCTCTCTCTCTCTCTCTCTCTCCAGTGAGTGCACATGCATTTGGGGGGGGGTGGAAAAAGAAAAAGAAAAAGAAAGAGGTGCTCTTTTCTTTAAAAGAAAAACAGTATCTCTATCCTGCATATCCCCTTGAGTTTTTATCACGTATTTTCCCAGTAATTATGAAACCTTTCAAAAGAACAACCTACCAATACGCCTCCTTCCTCACCTTTGACTTCTTTTCCTCTAAAAGTCCTTCTTAATCCTTTTTGCTGCTTTGTAGATTCAATTACTTCCATGTTAACTGCCTCTAACCCTACAGTTGTAGCTTTAAACCCCGTTCAAGTGTCAGACTCGCATTCTTCCAACTACAAACTCCATGAGATAGAAACACACATAACACTGCTAATTCAATGAATGCACACCTGTCCTTTAAACATAACCACTGTTAAATGTAGGTGGAGCTTACACAGAATGAACAAGGAGACTGTACCGTCTACGTACTTTCTTCTCTATGAATACTCAATGTTGAGAACCTCTGTATTCATGTTAGAGCCTCAAACACATTTGCAAAAACAAAATGACCTTCCAGCCATGCTTTCTGTGTATTACTGTCTTTCCTTGTCCTGTTGGTCTTCCTGGTCATCACAACCCAACAAGTTCACATCATCTCTTCAGTTAACCCCACATCTAAGCCTGAGGATCCCCAGGCATCATCCTTGCTGTCATTCCCACACTGCCTCCCTGACAGCTCACCCCAGGGTGCCCACAGCATCTTCCTAAGTGTTCTTGGACTTGCTTGCCTCATAGCAGTGGTCCCCAACTTATGGGTCCCAGGAACTGGTTTCATAGAAGATAATTTTTTCACAGATCAGGGGGTAGGGAGAGATGGTTTCTGGATGATTCAAGTGCCTTACCGTTATTGTACACTGTATTTCTATTATTATTACATCATAATACATAATGAAATCATTATACAACTGACTATAAAATACAGTATTGGCAGCCGTGCCCCAGTGCTAGCATCACTGCCTCAGCTCCACCTCAGAGCATCAGGCATTGGATTCTCATAAGGAGCTTGACCCTTCACATGTGCAGTTCACCATGTGAGCATGCAATGCTGACCTGACAGGAGGCAGAGCTCAGACCACGATGTGAATGAAAGGGGGTGGATGCAACTACAGATGAAACTTCTCTCACCACCCTTCTGCTCTCCTGTTGTGCAACCCCGTTCTTAACAGGCCATGAAACAGTTCCAGTCCATGGTCCGGAGGCTGAGCTACTCTAAGCTAGTCTATCTACCACCGCCTCCTCCCTGCCCCGCCTGCCTCCACAGTGACACACACACACACAAGCATGGGGTTCAGACCAGTGCCTGGGCCTTGAGCCTCGCTCTTGATCCTGACATCGGGCCCTTCCGGCGGGTCACACAAATCTCCTCAGCTTTATTTCCTGTGGTTTCCCGGCATAGGTCTTATGTGTTAGAGAAGATTAACTCCCAGGCTTCACGTAAATCTTCTAGGTTACTGCCTTTGTTCCTTTACTTCTTCTTCCACCTGAAACCTGCTTTGCCCACCACCTTGAGTATCTCACCACCACCCCCCAAACCAGGTCGAACGCCACTCCCCTTCTGTTGTTTCAGCTGGTATTATTTCTCTTTTTTAGGCATCCACCCAACTCAAGAGCACTTCCTAACGCTCACCACATTCACCACGTGTCTTCCTTCTCACCCATCTCCTTTCCGTGCACACGCCATTAGGAAAGGAACAACTCAAGCATGCACTTCCTCCAGTGCCGAGCTCACAGGGCCCTTCCACACACAGTAAACTGGGCATGTCACTGCTTCTCCGAACTACATCCTCTATCTGCACAAAATGCCACCTTTATTAGGAATGCACCTTTTTTTTTTTTTTTGAGGTTTTTGCTTTTGGGTGTGTGTGCTCACTGGAGAGAGAGAGAGAAACAGAGACAGTGAGAAGGAAAGTGAGAAGTCACCCTTCGGGGGAATGGGCAAGCCACAGTCCCTTCTCCTCCATTGTGCTCCTGGAATCTTGGGCATGCACACACTCGGTGTGATTTTCAAGTCACCGGGGTCTCAAACCATGTTCGGCCCTGTGGGAGCCCAGCGACGTAACCGCTACGCCAACTGCTGACCCAGAAGTACACCTTACATCTGCATCCGCTCTGTCTCCCCCTATTATCGAGTAAGAAAAACCTGGATTTAAAATGCTGTACGATTTAATGGAAGTACTGTGGCAAGCGTGAGGAGAGCTGGACCGCAGCTCTGCTAACCTCCGTGACCTGACGCTGCTACACACCGGCAGGCGGTCCCGCTCTCTACCACCATGTACCGTCTCCACGGTACGGAGAGCATCTGACCAACCAGGACGGGCTGTGGCTGTGAGGGGCGTCGTTCCCAACGGACTCACACCCACACTGCCCGGCTGCTGTCCCCAGCCTCAGGCTCGGTCACAGATGGGTTAATACAGTGCCATGAACATGAAGACTGTACATACCAGCTGGAATGACAAAGGGCATGTTTAGGTTCTTTTTCAACAAATGGAACGGTACCTGTGAAACTGCTCAAACAAGTTTCTTGGCACGAAGTTCAGAAGCGTGTACTTGGTGGTTCGTATTCGGTTATTCATGTAGGCGCCAGAGAACTGCTCATACTCGTCCTGGAAGGGTTGGAGGTGCGGGACCACCACCCGGTGCTTTCCCGCCAGCCTGGGGGCCCGAGAGGACTTGCCCCCGCAGGCGAGCAGCGACGAGTAGTTGTATGTCCTCGTGTCCCCATCCCTGCTGGCCCCACCGGTCAGCCGCCGCCAGTGATACCTGGCCCACTGGAGAGGCTGGGTCATGTCCAACACGCAGGGAGGTCCAGCTGGGTAGGTGATCTGGCCAAAAACACAACCACACTTTCCGTAAGCTTCTGGAAAGAAAGTTAACAAAATTTTAACCTTTTAAATATCAAATAAATAGATGATCCATCATATAAATAGGACAGTAAAACTGATCTTTGGAACTCCCTTTTAACTAAATCGTTTTTTGTTTTTGTTTTTATTTTGTTTTTTGAGAGAGAGACTTTTGCTAAAGGGCATGTGCACTTGCTGGAGAGACAGAGCGAGAGAAAGCGAGAAATCACTCCCCCAGGGCTATGGCCATGCCACAATCCCTTCTCCATTCTCCTCATGGGAGTTTGGGCATGTACGCACACGTGTCCAGCATGAGTTTCATCCACCAGGTCCAGGACTCAAACCACAGTCAGCCACGTGGGAGTTCAGTGCCTTAACTACCATACTACCTGCAGTCCCCACTAAACCGTTCTTAAATAAAGCACACGCCGTACACAATATGCCGTCTGTTCGTATAGATTCATTGCATATCCTGCAAAGATGCACAGTGATGACATGCAAATGAAACGAGCAAAGAAAGCATAGGCTCCTGCCTCGTGGGTTAATGATCTGACCATCTAAGCCGCAAGCGGTTCCGCCTAAAGGCCATTCCAGAACTAGAGGCAAACAATTTGGCCTTAATGCGCCCAAGTGTCTTCACTTCTCTGATTACCAGTTTTCTCATCTTTGAAAAGAGCATAATGTCATGAAATGATGAGGATTAGGTGAGTAACAGTTAACCACCCAGCACAAAGCCTGGCAGAAAGTAGGCAGCCAGGCTGGCCCCATTGCCTGGTGTTTGCGGGTGCAGGCCCTACATGGCTGACCACACGGTTTGTATCCTGGTTCCCATGGCTTGAAAGGTATTGTCCGTGTGTTGCACACGCTCGAAAGTCCAACAGGGGAGAAATGAAAGAGAAGGGATTGTGGTGTGACCATGCCCCTTTGGGGTGCTTTCTCCCTCTCCCTCTCTCTCTCTCTCTTTCTCGCTCTCTGTCTGTCTCTGTGTGTCTCTCTCTAGCTCTGTCTGGTATGCACGTGGCCTTCGGCAAACTTTTTAAAAAGTAAGCGTAGATCACAAAAGGGACAACGAGCTCTTCCCAGCCCTGTACACACATTCCTTTGCCCTTCAAAACATGGGATTGAGGCTGGCAGGTGGCATGGAGGCTGGGGTGATGAACTTCCATGTGGCCAACCGTGGTTCAGGTCCCAGATCTAGAGGCTTGCTTTCTCACTCTCTCTTTCTCATTTTTCTCTCTCTCTGTCTCTGGTCAAATTAAAAAGTAACAATAATGATAAATAAAATTAAATAAGTAATTCTTTTTTTTTTTTTGAGAGATTTTCACTGTAGGGCGCGTGCGCTCACCAGACAGACAGAGAGAGACATAGAGACAGAAAGCGAGAAATCACCCCCCAGGGGGGATGGTCATGCCGCAATCCCTTCTCCTCCATTCTCCTCTCAGGATCTTGGGCACGCACGCACACGCGCCCGGTGTGAGTTTTAAGCCACCGGGTCCGGGACACGAACCGCGGTCGACTATGTGGGAGTCCAGCGACATAGCCATTACACTAACTGCTGGTTCCCAATAAGTAATTCTTTTTAAGAAAGTTTTTGTTTAGTTCCATTTGTTTCTTTGTTTGTTTGTTTATTTGAATTTGACACAAGAGAGAGAAAGCGAGAAAGCAAGAAAGCAAGCTGCTGGGTCCAGGATTTGAACTGTAGTCGGCCACGTGGGAATCCAGCAACTTTTACCACCATGCCACCTGCTGGCCCCAACATAAATAATTCTTTAAAAAATGTTTTTAAAAAGCTGGAATTTTCCTCTACTCTGAATCTGGGCTGGGCCACGTCTTGCTTGGGCTGACGTAACACCAGCAAGCGTGACACAGGTGGGAGTGCTTGCTCATGGGGTTCGCCCCTCACAGCTCTCGGGAACCCTGGCACAGCAGGAGTGTGGACAAGTACACACGGCCCACGTACCTCCACTGTCCCTGGCAAGGTGTGAGGCCACTGCCTGCCAGCCGACGGCTAACACCCATGTGTGCCCAGCTAACACGATCAGAGCAGAGCTGAGCCAGCCCGCCTGTGCTCAGCCCAAACTGCTGACCCTCCAGACCATCCGTCAGTGAATGCCATGTTGTCCAGTGTGGGGGGATCTGTTACAAAACGAAATCTAATCGAGACTTACGTTGTCGGAAAAGTCATGATATATTTTTGTATAAAAAAAAGTAATGACTTTTCTGACAACTCAGTATAATAGGCCTTGTTTTGTTTATTTCCAATTTTCCTTATTTTCCAAAAAAATTTAGTCCTACCTAGTATGCAAACTTATGAATTATTTTTTTTCCTTAAAAAGGGAATAAAAGTAAACATGCATTAAGAGCACTCTATATTTCAAGCACAGTGCAAAGAACGCTTTTTTTTTTTTTTTTTTTTTGGAGAGGTTTTTGCTATAGGGCACGTGCACTAGCCAGAAAGACAGAGGGACAGAGAGAGAGAGAAAGCAAGAAATCACTCCCCAGGGGGGCCACACCACAAGCCCTTCTCCTCCATTCTCCTCTCGGGATCTTGGGCACGCACGCACACAAACCCAGTGTGAGTTTAAGTGACCGAGTCTGGGACTCGAACCACTTTCAACAACATAGGAGTCCAGCGACATAGCCATTACGCTAACTGCTGGTCCCCAAAGAAAGCCTTTTCCATGCATTACCCTACTTAGCATCAGTTCTGACATGCAAGTATTATCTCTAATCGACAAAAGAGAAAGCAGGCTTAGAGAGGTTGGCTACGAAATATTAGGGTTGATTCACACCAAATCGCTCTGACACCAGAGTTTCTGCTTGTAACTATTAGGATGTGTCCTTTCTTCTTGTACCCAGAATGCTTGGCACTTAGTAAATGCAACAGATACAGCCCCCGGTAGGCCCTGAGCAATCAGCAAGGGCGTGGCGGGCAAGGCTGGGGCCTTGGTTTCTCCCTTTGCTTTACGAAGTAATGCTTTTGCATTTACTTCGCATCTTGGCCTGGAGTTCACCTAAGGAGACTGGTGTTTAGTAAACCCGTAGGTGTGAACAAAACTCCGCAGATAAATCTGTCCATGCACCCCACCTGGAGAACCTGTTACACAGGGATGGTTGTCACCCAGACCCCTTCTCAGGAGCGCAGGCCCAGGCGAAGGCATAAGCGGGTAAATATGCAGAGGCAACCTCAGGTGTAAAGGATTGAAGGCTATAAAATATCTCGGCAAATTATTTAAGCTTGCTTCCTTCCTAAAGCTTCACTCTGAGGTCATAAATCGTCTATTTACTTTCCCTAAAGTGTTACAGAAACTAGCAGTTTCCTCCAAACACGAAGTGTGTACCCAGCGTCGACAGATATAAAACATCGTAAATCACCATCTACAGCGCTGCAAGATTTGATCCAATTATTCTAGTAATCCTCAAGAATCGGTATTTTTAATAACCCGTTCTTGCTAGCTGGCTCACTATAATGCAGGAAAAGACTCCCAACCCACAATGCACAGGGGGGCGAGGAAGTCACCGCCCATTCTCGTAATTCTCGGTACCAACACAGTACTTTGTAACAGCCTGCTTGTTTCCAAGAGGAAACGAGGGAACAGTTTAATTCGAATTGTAGCTTTGGGTATTGATGGTGAAGCTGGAAGCTTCTTTGAAAATCCCAGGGAGAAGATGCTCCCCATCTCTGGTGTGCAAAGCCCAGGTGTTACATACACGACAGGGACCCTTCCCGTAAGGAGCGAGTGTTTGAATAGGCTTAAGATGGGCATTCGTGTGAGGATTAGGAGGAAACGCAGGCCGGACGTCCAACTGCAATAGGATTTCAAACGGCTGGCTTCCAGATTGTTCTAACATAAGGTGGTGAGCAGTGGAGGTTCAGACGAGGTGCTGGCTTGGTGGTGGGAATACGACCCTGCACTGTCTCCATGGCTGAAGTACTGGGGCAGCTGCAGCGGGGACCGAGGATGGAGGGTTAGAACACCCCCTTGCTGGGATAAACCGTAGGATTTTGTAGGCAAACAGGAAGTGTCGTCTGAGTCTCCTAAGAGGCTGGAGGAAAACAGGCGTCGAGTGAGGAGGAGGAATATTAGAACCGGGGCTCCTGGAGGCCTTTATTGTGAAGGAGTGCACAGTGGGGTTTTGTCAGTCGGGGCTAATTCCGGATGGCTCTCTGGGTGCTGTTTCTTGGGAGAGTAAGAGAAGAGTAACGACTAGGGCTGAGGTAAGAAACGGTGGGATAAGCTGCCAAGTGCAGAGTGGGGGAAGGCTGGTGTGCTACTGAAGACCCTCTGAGCTCTTCCACCGGAGCAGGGCCAACGCATGGGTGGCCGACAGAAGGCCGGTGACCCGAGACTGCTCAGCAGGGCGCCTGTCCTCGTGGGAAGACGTGCTCTAACCTGCGGTGTTAGTCCTGCAGAGGGGGGGATGGCACCAACGCGTTCGGTTTCTGAAGCGGTACAGACCTCGGCCTACGCGTGTAAACAGGGGAATGAAGAATACAGAAGCTCGTTTGCATGGAGCTACTGGATCATACAGCCACCTGTGAACATGCCAGCAGACAGGGTCACCGAGGAGGATGTGGCTGGGGCACCTGCCACACAGCCAGGGATCATCCTGTGATGCCCAGTGGAGGGCCCCATTTCATCTTGGGGGAACAGCTGATGCAGCTGCTAGGCCAATAAAGGAATGATCAGTGATTCAATTAAGGGCTTTTTGGGGTTTGTTTGTTTGTTTGTTTTTGTATGTTGGCCATTAAGGTTCTTCTAGTTGAAATACAGTGGCAATTTTTCATGTCACTGGGCCTATTTAAATTCCATGTGAGAATTATGACCAATGTTGTATTTTTATTAAATATTAGTCTGGTTTTTGTTTTTTTTTTTTTGTAGGATCTTCTTCAAACCCTGCACTTATTAGCAGTTGCGGAATTACTATGATAAATTTTGGTGAGTCTTTTTTAGGGCTAATGGTGTTTGTAATTTATTTATGGGACATTAGTAATATTTAGGTGGACTATGGCTAC